TGAAAACCTCTGATGAGGCATCATGCAATTTAGCTCCTGTTGAGGAGGACGCTCCGCACTTCCTATGCCTGAGACAGGTGGAACCTTAAAAATGTTCCTGAGAATAGACATTATCCTATGTTTTAGAGAATTTATACAATCCCTTCTTTGTTAACACTTTTTAAGTGTGTCCTAAACTGCAGTTAGAGAGCCAGAAAAATTAATATTTCAATAAAGGTTTTCACTTTGCTGAGCACCTTCTGTAAAGTCCTAAAAAGTATTCAAGAGAACTTGAAGAGACAGGAACTGGCATAACAAGGACCAGAAGTATATTAAAATTCATATATAAATGAAACTAATTTTTCTAGAAATACAATTGATAGTTCAACAAGAGAATTTCTTAAGCACACTGACCTATTAATGAATTGATGATATCCTTTGTCAACATAAAAAAAAAAAAAAAAAAATTCCCTTGTTTTGACTAGCTGATGTATGTGTCAAATGCATGTTTAGTATTTCAAAAATAAAATATCAAGATGCAGTTTGATTAGTGCAGGGTAAGACATTACAAAACAGCTCACTGGAATGATCTATGGTTTCACCAGAATGATCTCATAATGATGATGGTAATTAAATAACATCTGAGTTGTTGTTGTTTTTTTCTTTCTTTTTTTTTTTTTTTTAAGAGGTGCTGTGTCAGCTACACTATCCCAGTTGTACATTTTGTGACAGAGCACAGTCAATCCATTTAAAAAGTTTAGATTTTATCAATTTCTAAGCCATTGCAAAACTACCTCTAAAACAACAGTTACCAAGGTATATATTTATTCACCAGTTATAACAGAATTTGTTAAAGGATGCATGGACATCCAAATAAGCTACACTTTTGCTCACTGTCTTATACTAAGTAGCCTACACGTATGCTTAAGTATTTGGAAATATTTTTCCTTTGCAACATTGTGTCGCAGTGGCATTATGACTGTGCTTTATAGTTATATTCTAACATACAACTTCAATTTATGCAGTACTCACAGTTCACTGGTCTGTAATTCTTAATATCCCTCTATCTTCCACCAATTTTCATTTAGTAGCTATTATTTGAAGTTCATTTTCCATGCCCTTTCAATTGTGATTTTTTCCAACGTGACAACAAACATCAGTGCCATTTCTAATAGTGTCATTTACTGGAGTAAGAAAAACAAAGTTTTTAAAAAGAATCTATCAGAAAATCACCAGACAGTAGCAACCTGTGGTCAGTATCAAGATGAGCTGTACATGAATAGACAGTCTGAAAGTAACAGGATTTGTATCCAATTACTCATCCCCAGAGCCATTCTATCCCCGAACGATAAATTTCTATCAGCTGATCCTTTAAGCCATCATCATCTGGTCATGCTACCGTGTTCCAACAGGAAGGACAAAAAGGGAAACACTTAAGGTTTTCTATTCAAATCTCTAAGATACAGAATAGTCATGTTGACCTCTTAGAAGTTTTGAAAACGGATCCTAAGAAAACAGAAACAGGCATATAAAATTTTTGTCTTATCATAAATATTGTCTTCTGTACTTACTCCAAGCATATAAAGAAGCTTTCAATACGTGCATTTGCTTTGCAATGATCAGAAATACATGTTGATTTTTAAAAATGGCTAATTTTCATGTTTGCTGTAACAGAAAAGGACATTCATATGAAGGATATTGAAGACATTGCTGAAGAATTGTTCACCCTTTAAAAAAATATTATCACTGTAACGCTGACAGTGTTGGTGTCAGGTTGGGCAATTAGCCACTTAAGTGTGAATAAGATCTGCCAAGAAGCTGTTTCATTTTTGCCTCAGAATATATGTGTATCTGTGAGCTGGTGTGTGTTTGTGTTCATGCATCAGTGGAATCTGGTTGTTCATGCCAGGTTTTCTTATCATACTTTTCTGCCTCTTTGAATTTGCACATTCCTGCAATACAAAACGGACACGTCTGCTGATAATGTCAACATACTTAGGTTCACGAGGAGAGATTTTGTGTAACTAGATCTGAAGTAGCCTTTTTGTGTTCATTACCTGACCCTGTCTGTTTACACAGCGCTAGAAGAGCTGTTCGTGGAAAGAGCTCCAACACTGCAAACACCTCTAAGACATTAAAAGGCAATGGATGTGGAAGGAATCAGCATCAAAACACTCTCCTACAAACTCCATTTTTATATGTCATCTGAAGGAAATTCTCACTTCATAGAGCACAGTAGATTCTATGGGATGTTGAGAGCATTTTGGAATCTCTTCAATATTGATCACATTATGCTTTAGACTTCTGTACATCTATTTGGGAAATTCTAGTTGGTAAAACAGCATAGAGTAGTTCAGTAGGAAGGGATCTTCCAAGGTCATCTAGTCTAGTTGCCTGACCACTTAAGGGCTAACTAACAGTTAAAGCATGTTATTCAGGGCACTGTCCAAGCACTTCTTCAACAGGCACGGGGCATCAGCCACACCTCTAGGAAGCCTGCTTCGTGTTAGACCAGCCTCATGACACAGAAATGTTTTCTAGTACCCAGTAAGACCCTGACAGCTTTGTGCTGTTCCCATCCTTCCACGGGGTGTCAGGAGCAGAGTTTGCCAGCTCCCTCTGCTCCCACCTATCAGGGAGCTGCACAGAGCTGTGAGGTTGCCTCTCAGTCTCCTCCAGGCTGAACAGCCCAATGTCCTCAGCCCCTCCTCACGGGACATACCATCCAGCCCTGTTACCAGCTTTGTTACCCTCTCCAGAATGCTTTCAAGGACCATCATCTCAATGACCTTGGAAAGATAAGTGGAAGTCTAACAGACAACAGACTACAGCATAGGCAGGTCAGAGTTACTGCATAGAAATCCTGAAGGCACATCCAGACTTCTATCTCCCTGATGTAGTAAAAACGTTTGGACTCTTTTTCTGTTGTTTTGTTGTGGGTGAGGAGTAGGAACTGATGCAAATATTTACCTTACTTATTTCAATAGCAAAAATACAATTATTCCAAATAAGGAACCTACAAATGTTCTGATGTAATCATTCAAAATTACAAAAAGTGTAGAAAAGATGTAAACAATTTACAAATCAAAACTGAAGGGTGCCAAGTACAAACAGAACAAAAAATCGCTTTCATAACACTTCAGTGTACAGGTATTGAAGCTACCTTCTTGGATACTTATTGGGAAACTTCTCAAGTCTTAACAGTATCGACAACTCACTGAGAATTTACCATCACTTATGATAAAAAGACATCCTGCTTTTCAAGAAATATATTTGAACAACCCTAATGAAAATTAGTAGATTATATAAAACTGTAAGTACCTTAAGGCCAATGAAAGTAATTACCCAATCATGGGTAATAGAAGGTGAGGTACAAGTTCCTAAAGAAGGTGTGAATAATGAACTTCAAACTCATTGCTCTTAAGTCTCATGGAGTTACATGAATGAAGTACGTGACAAATGTTTTTGAATAAAGACTCACAGTCAAGACTGCCATTTTTCTGAATAAACCCCACCACTTGGGAGAAAGAGAGCGCTGTGCTTAGCTGCAGCATCAGTAGCCCCTCAGTTTGGTCAGAGACGACACAGTTGCTGTGCATAAGAGCGAAGCTGGTGCATTAATACCCCATCACACACCCAAAATGCAGTTTATACTCACAGATGGCATTCATTGCATGCTCCAAAATTGCATAGGAGAGGAATCTGATGGCATGATGGCTCATGTTCCTTTCTCCCCAGCTCTCAGGGGCTGTTTCACTGAATAGCTCTCAGCTTCTCCAAAGATCTCCTCAGAAAATGATGTTCAGAAATGGGATGAATCTCCCTCCCCAGAGGGATGAATGCATCCCTGCTCCAGCACACAACTAAGCAAAGACCAACCCAACACCACTTGCACATCTTTGCTTTTTTCCATGTAATTTTTGCCAAAGGGGAAGACAGACTAACACGTATTTATGGACACAACTGAAAAAGCAAATTATTTTGATTACTTTTTCAGGTTAAACCAGAACTCCCTTTTCCAGATTCTTTATACATTTTGCTGTGTATGTCTGTATCTTTGTTCTCTGTTGTATCTCTTTGCATCTCTGTTACATTTGTAGCACCCAAAGAATGCTGCTCTTTATTGTATTTTTTTAAAGGCGAGACAAAGCATTTCTTCTCACTTTTTTGCAGGTGCATCACTAAGAGGATTATAAAGTATTCTAAAATATGTATTTCATTCCAGTTAAAAAAAAAAAAAAAAAAGAAACAAACTGAAAATATCTATATTTTCTTTTAAAGAGTTGACATTTTTGTTCCCCAAATACCTCTAAATTAATGCAAGCTTACTTCCTGAAGAAAAGAGCAAAAATAAGTGTTGGTTTCAATATAGTGCATATGATCTAGATACCAAGGTCTAATCACAACATATTTATCAACATCTAGCATTTGGCTAGTATATGATGTCCACAGGCACTTGTAGTGATAGCTGTCACACTGCATTCTCTTTCTGGCACAAATGAACACAGCAACAAGGACAAGAAATAGAGTGCAGTATAGAGTAACAACACAGCCTGGAATTTAGCCCATAGTGAAGAAACAGTCAAACTCATTATTGACTTCACTGACAGAGGCTCATGCTCACGGTGGCAGAATATTTCAGCAGTCAACAAGCTTTGAGAGGCTTATTTCTATTAAGGGAGCTAAAGATTTTTTTGAGGTGCACCTTTCTTTCTCTTTCACCTTATCAGAGATCAAAAAGTCATTTTCAAGCCATGCATGTTTCTCGCAAAGAAAGACTAAAAGGACATGACCCACCCTCCTCAGAATTCCAATGCCATATTCTATATAGAATGCAATATGGAAGGCTTTTAAAGTCTTATCTTCTCTTTCAAGGAAAAAAGAAATAGATATGAATACAAAAGATATGAAAAGAAAAGCATTGCCAGTGGCTAGGTTGCTTGTTGTTTTGCAAAGTTTTGTTTGTAGCCCATATTTTTAATATTTTAATTTAATTTCATAGAGTCATTAAGGCTGGAAAAGACCTCCAAGATCATCCAGTCCAATCGTCTTCCAGGGTAGTGTGGCCTGGCAGCAGACACTCTCTCAAAATATGTGCCATGAAAATCCCAGAAGCCAGTCTTCTTGGAAGCGTTAGAGGAGAAGGGCGTTTGCTCTATGATGGCTGAGATGGATTTCTCCTCACCAGAGATCGCTGAGTTCACTGTCATGGAGAATGTGCTACACTATGAACTCTTCTTTGAAGCCATTTTCCAGCTTACCTGTGTTTCAGCCATAATCATATCAATTTCAAAGTCCTATAAGACAGACAATAAAGAAGAGAGGCTATCCCTCCAGATATTGAGAATGACTCGAGTCCAGGACTGACAGTTTTGAGCCTCAGACTTCAGAGACAGTGAAGAAACCAAAGGCAATTGCTTCACAAATAAGCAAGAAACTTAAGAAGGAATCAAGAAAAAAATAAGATGATATAGACCTGACCAATAAGCTTTAAAAGACAAAATAATCAACTATAATGCTTCCTTGGAGAGGACATCAAAGGCAACTGACTGTATCATATGGCTTTCCAGCATTTAGCAAGAATCTTTTTTCCTCCTCGGTCTGCTCATGGCCACTTTTCTATTACTTATTACTCCCTTCTTTTTTTTTTTTTTTTTTTTTTTCTTACATCTCCATCAAGCTGGAGGCACTCATAGCTGAATATCTAAAGATTTTGCAAGTCTGAATCCATCTCTCAATCACATTTAAAGGCAAACCACAATTTTCATGTGTAAACAGAAATTTCTAGTAGATCTTTGCAAATAGTGGTAAAAACAAGATTAAAAACTGGGCTGAGGGGAAAAAATGGCACAGAAAAAAAAATAACACTAAGAAAATTGCTCAGCCACACTTCACATGACACTGGGGGTAGAGAGGGGGAAAACAGACAGTAACATCATCAAGAATAGAAAAGGTCCAGTAGCAGATGTTTAAGTAGAATGATGTGCTAAATGTCACCTCTTGTCATATTATACTTTCCTTCCTCAGACTTTATTGTTGTTTTTTTTTAAAAAAAGATTATTAAATTCAGCTCAAAGTCAAGCTCCTAACAACTTGTTCTTCCCCATCTACTATCATTTAGTCGTGAATGCTTAACAGGTGAAAGTAAAAATTAACAAAAAAAGATGATCAGATGAAACCAGAGGAACTGATGGGCTTAAATGTTCAGATCTTTAGTCAGAAACTTACATTCAAAATGCAAAACTCAGTTTTATCTGTCTGCTAAGTCACACCAAAACCATAAAGAAAACCTGATATGTTTTCAGAGACAGCCTGATACAGAAGACTACAGTTGTTCAGCAGGAAACTAAAATAAATGAAAAATAGCAATCCTCAAAAACAATGGACTGGATGCCAGGCAGAACACATCAAATTCTGAGCTGTATAAACAGAGACAACTTAAAGGGCATGCAATCTTTAAATTCTCTAAATTAGTTACACTGAATCCTGTACTAAATTTCACTGTTACAGTAAATCCTTAAAATAAACATTATTCAGCGAAGGCCATGGAAACCTGTGCCATATTTGGAAACCGTGACCACCTGAGAAGATATCAAACTCATCTGGCATTCTTGAGAGTCAGCTGTAGGAAGTAAACTTTGCAATGTGCTTACATGAGGAATATACGCACCTGAAGGGCTATTCGTAAACAAACATGTAGTCACCTATGGCAGTGACCACCATCAAATTCATTTTTCATCTTTACAGATAACAAATAATTCTGATTATTCAATACATACATACATATGGATGTATAATTATATATTGATTAGTTTAGCTTTTAGCATATGAATGCATTGAATTTCTCCAGAGTAACAGATAACATTTTTTTTAAATTACCCCAATAGACCATTAGCATTATGAGTGAATTTATTTTCCCCAACAGTGTTAAAGATATGCAAAATTTTCATTTTTCACAGTTGCATAGTAAAATGATTAACACCAGCTCTGCTCATTATCTTGCTTAACAAAACTTCTCTAAAAACAAATAAATCAAAAACGCCGCTAACATTCCTGAATAAATAAATTACAGACCTGTTCAGTGGCAGCAATGATATTTTAAAAAGCTTGTGCAAGCTCATTGTACAGTTTTATTACAAAACTGCAATTTATAACAAAACTGTCCACTTTTTACTTTCTAGCCAGTTTTACTCATTGAAGTACCTTGTACAACCCAAGGAACTTCAAAGCAAGCAAGAAACCTATAAATGTCAATCTCATGTTTCAATATGTTACAATATATAAATATTGATATGAGAACCTTCATTACACACTCTATTATAGGATTTGCAGAACTACAGTTAAATGAAACAACTATTGCCTGATAGAATATCAGATGTCCGTCATTACAGATGCAGAATACGTATCACAAATTGGAAACACACTTACTGTGTTAGAATTTATTTTTTTCATTATATACAAGCAATGAAGTCCATCTACAAGTAAAATTCTCTTGCATCTCCTATCTTCACAGGAAAAATGTTTACCTAAAGACAGCCTCCAATATTAGAGATCTAGGGAATTGCTTTCCTACCCTAGTCCCCATTTTTTAATATGTATACACACACATATATATATCTAAATGTATATGTATATTTACAGGTTATATTTACAGGTTAAAAATGAAGTCTTGCAAAAAAAATCTTTTTTTCATTGTAGTTCTGGAGCACAGATAATCATTGATGTGAGAAATGTACAGAATTTCCTCCTCAAAATAAAATATCAAAAAATGTTTTTTCTCTCCTTAGAACAAAGAACAAAGCTAAATATATCCCATAACACAGTCATAATAAAACGAAACTGTTATCTGTTGCTAGCTCCCCAACAACTCACAGATTTTTCTTAGCATTAAAAACAGCATGTAAATTAAGGTGACTGAAACATGCTTTCAGCGAGCAGAGTAATATGGTAGCTATTCATCACCTGAAGTCATAAAACACTAGGTCTTGTCCTTAGCATATTCTAATGAAGCCTATCATGCAAATGAGAGTGACCTTTTCTGTGCATTCTGCAAGTTCACATTTATGTGAGGAGTATATATAGTTTTCCAATACAAACTAGCCAAAGACTGCGTAATTACTGTAATCAATTAGTAGTTAGTGTCGCTCTGCTCATTTGTGGCTAATGTCAGCTAAACCATTTTTGAGAAAACCACACTGACAGCTTCTTTCTGTTGTTTTTGTTGCTGCTGTTTTTCTGCGACAAGAAAATAAGTCAGACTTCTCAAGTTGGAAGCACAGTTCCATTTTTCTAAAAATGCTTTCTCCCCATATTCAGAATAAAAATGAGACTCACACCTGTAATGGGAACAGATTCCCCAGCAAAGTTATGTACCCTTAAAATGACATTGAAGTTTTTCACCATGAAGATGAAACATTAATATTTAAATATTTAAATGAAGGACGCTCTCCCATGAGGAGGTTCAGACCAAGTAAGGAAGACTTGGTAGAACTTCGGCACTCTTTTCAACGGATGAGTAAACAGGCCGTACCCTCTGCTCAGCAACAGTCTATTTGGTAGACAGTTATGGATAGGAAACATTACTGGAACTGGTAATTAAAGTAAAAACTAATACTGTCTCAGAAAAGGGGAATTTTGTGCAGGAAAATCATTTATCATGACTTACAGTTCACCTCAACTGAAAAGAATTATCTTATTTAGCACATATCTACTTTATTCCATAACATCTTCCAAACTGTGCTGATTTTAATATCAAAATCTAGAGTACATAAACCACAATTATGCCATTAGTTGAAATAAATTCTCTATATAACACCTAATAAGAGAGCAGAAACTTAAGTCAAATAAGGATATACGGATTCCAGTTTCACATTCTTTTACATTCATATCCTTTATAATGAAAGGTCAGATCTGAGCATTTTAGGAAATCAACTCCTTTCAAAACTGCAACTAGACATTACAAACAAAAATTTAAATCACAAAAAATCAATACACACTAAAATAGTGTTATTCTCTTTGCACCTATAATAATAAATAAAAAACATTTCCTATTTCTAAGAAATTACCCTGCTAGTGCAGTGTTGCTTTGTGCACACAACATAAACACGTGCACTTTATATACTGTGTATATTTACGTTATACAACTAAAGAACTAAAAAATGTCTTAGGGATTTTTTATAGTATGATGATCAATATTATCAATTTTTTTCACTCAGCAGAGAATTGCACATTTCAAATGCATTCATTATAGGGACAAGAAAACTGTTTTCTCTGATGAGAAAGTGAAGATGAGTTTGGGTTCTCTGCATGCCCATACCACACTGTTTTGAGAATTACTTCTGCCAAACATTGCATCAAAGCAGTTGAGTATTTGGTTGATACACAGAACCACTTTAAAACAAAACAACAAAAAAAAATTGAGTATAAAATTCTAAAATAATTAATGATTAAGATTGAAGAAAAACGTCAAGGATTTACTCATGCATATTAAGACATAAGAATAAAGACATTTAAGCATGTCACACTAACATAGAAGTATCTGAATTCATACAACTCAAAAAAATAAGAGGTGGAAGCTGAAACCTTCCCTTTTCTTCCTTCAGATCACAATATTCTTTATATAGAAAAGTAGCATGTTTTGGTAGTAAAGGCAAAAGATAACTTCTTTTTTTCTTAACCATATATTTTTTTTCCCCTCCCTCAAGGTCTCTGGGCCTCCAGTGAGAGCCACTGGGAAAGAAGAGGTGGGCAAGGCACTGCAGTGCCTTCACAGCTCCTTGTGCCTCAGGCTCCTTCCACACCTGGCCCAACAGAGTGAGTGCCGGACAGCTGAGGGACATCAGTGCCACTGCGCTCTTCCTCCTCCTTCATCTCTTGCTTGCTGCCTCCTGTGGCAACATCCCTCGGGATGCAGCTCAGAGCCCACTGGGAATGACTGTATTCCCTGTGGTTTCCCTAGTGGCAAGTTGGCGGTGTACTTTGTTGGTTTAGTCAACCATAAAACGAGCATACTACTTCGTTACTGCATTGGAAAACTTTTGTTTAGCTTTGCTCGTAAAACTGCTTAGAGATATTCAAAAAATGCCCAGAGGTAATCCAAAGGAAAAAAAATAATAATCTGTTGAGTAAGGAAGTAGTATTATTTCAAGCAAAGTTTGCATCCCAATAATTGCAGGTGGTATCAACGCACTCTGAAGAGCACTAATGAACGTGAACTTTTTATCCAAACAAGAAAGCAAAATAAATATATAAAAACGAAGAGTATTTGTTTCCATGGTGATTTTCAGGGATGATGGGGAGGGGAGAAATAGCAACCAGGTGGCAATAAGTCAAGTGACACTGAAGATTTATTGGCTTATTTCTGTGTATGGCGGGAAGCAGTCTCCTCGCACGACATCAGGCGTGGCAGAGCAGTGGCTGCTGACAAGGCGGGACGCGGCTCTTTTTACTCCTGTCAGAGTCAGCAGCCGCGGGGGCACCTGCAAGTCACCAAGAAGGAATGGTGGGGAGGAGGACAGGCGCAGGGGGACTGAAGGAGCCACGTGCCCACGGGCTGTAGGCCCTGGTAGAACCCCGCAAGGCCACTGCCTGCCGAGCACCCACCTGACCAGCACCCATGAAAAGGCCAGTGCAAAATGCCTCAGCAAAGAGGCAGATGAAGCGATCGCTGTTGATCCACCCCAGGATGATGCCATTACAATAAACACTCACGACAACTTGCGACCGAAGCGCTGTTACAACACTAATTGTCCATGAAAGCTGACCTGCAGCAAGGCAGCAGAGTTCAGTTTCGATAGGCCCGGCTCAGGAGCGCCAGCATGATTGCAGATGACAGAAGACATCCACGCATCAAAAATCTCTGGAAACGCCTGACGTGACTTTGCACACTGCAGAAAAGCAGCAGAAATCTGAGAGTCTTGGCTCTTTGTCAGGAAGCAAAAAGGACCACAGGGATGGCATTTTTCAGAGCATCTCTCTAAACTGACATCAGCTCTGCCACACCTAGTAAAGCGTGTACCCTGCTTGTCCTCCCTATTACTGTATCTTCAATCAAATAT